GCATTTATCAGTAGGACTTCGAACCCACATGAAGTTTTGACCATCTGTTAAGAGAAAAAAAATTGTATGAATCTTGTAGGATTCTCAACAAATTTTTCGACTTATACTATTTACAGTTTTAAGTTATTTCAGGCTTCAGCTGTTGAAGCTTCGCAGTCCCCAGAAAGAGAGAACAAAAGCATCAAAAAGAAATTCACGAGCTTCTTGTTTCATTCAATCGTCATGGTTAAAAAAACAAAATAAATTTATTATGCTAACTGTTAAATTCCGAGTCTAAAAGAACATTCAAAGAACACCAAACATTTCTAACCAAACACCAATGAAAAAGCATGATCAAGAACTGTGAGATTTGGCACATTGATTCTTTACTGCAACTCGAAAATATTGATTCTTGAACACGGCAAACACTGCAGACGAGCAACGAGCATCGAGCTGTTGAATGGCCTTGCAGCACTCCGGCTTGAGGGAAACCTCATGCTTCAAAAATGATGTTACAAGGTTATTACTACAAGAATAATAACCAGAAGATTCAGCCAAACATTTCTTCACTTTGGGGTCATTGGCATGGGCAAAGATTTCGGGTTTGCCCCACTGAAAAGGCAGCTGTTTCAGGTCCGGAACCGCCACCCATTTTTTAGCAGGTCCGTCGGCGAGCTGTGGTGACGCAGATGGGGCTGAAGCAGCTAGTGGTTGAGCAGCAGCACTGTGAGCATTGGCCAAGGGTAATGAGAAAACAAGAAAGAGCAACATTGGTACAAAAGCTTCAAGCTTCATCATGGCTAAAATTAAATGGGGGTTAAATGAAAGAAATAAAAGTTATAATTCAATCTTTAGTTAAATAACTAGGTTGATTAACCAAGGATTAGATAAGGGTTGGAGGTTGTTAGATAAGTCTCTAAATTTGTAAATTTGAACCGCTAATTACCTTTTGTCATTATCTCAGTAGATAAAAGATTATGTATAGTTTACAAAATTAATGGCTAATTAATAACTTTTATTTTATGTTTAATGAAGGACCAAATAAGATGATAATAAAATTCTGTATAGTATTTTTTTTTTTTTTTTTCTTTTAAGCTCAGTGAAATTGTGGAAACTTATTGATTAAAAGTAAGACATGCCTTATTAATGTATATTGTCAATGAGTCTTATCATACTGAAGATTCCTTGTTACAAAAATTGAAATAAAATAAAATGAAAAGATAACAAAATTAATGCGTAATTGCTCTGGGGTGTTTGGTTCAGGGAATGTTGTATTATTAAGAATGTTATATTAAGAGGGCGTTTGGTTCAGAGAATGTTGGATTACTATAATCTTATATTATCTTGAAGATTACTGGAAATCTTTAGGGAAATGTGTTTGATTAGTTGGCGGATATGTTATATTAATATGCTTGGTTAAAAGGAATAAATTGGTAGGTATATTTAAATTATTAAATTGTCCCCTTTTTAAATATTAATATAATATTATTTTTATTATTAATTTTTGAATAATTTTTTTAACCCCCAATATTTTAGATTTAGCTAAAACACCCCCGCTTATATAAAACTTTATTTTTTAATGAAATCACCCCCACCCCCTACCGCCGCTTGCCGTCATTGCAAACCACCATCGAAAGTCTTCGAAAGCCGACGTGAGTAGCTCACCGTCACCACAAGGCTCCGATATAGCCGTTTCTGACCATATTGATGGCCGAAAACGGCCATATTAGGCCAGATCAATGGTTCTGGCCGTTAACGGCTAGATCCTTGACCATTATCAGCCAGATATGGCTTGATATGGCCATTTTCGGCCATATTTATGGCCGAAAACGGCCATATAGAAGTCTCCCGGAGCCTCTCACTAAATCTCGGTCTTTTTTAGGGACTCCGATGATTTTTCTGTGGTAGTCCATGGTGGTTGGCTCGCTGTTGGCGGTGGTGGTTGGGTGGCAGTGGTGGTTTGTAAATTGTTTTAAATAGAAGGGCATTATTGTTCAAAAATTTAATTAAACAAGGGTAAAATTGAAATGATATATTAATATAAATTTATTTTAAAATAGGGCATTATTGTCCAAAATTTTTATTAATAAGGGATAGAATTGTAACAAAAATAAGATTATCTTATAATATTACAATACCTAAGAAAATGGAGGTAATCAAATTACCTTCAACATTACCAACAGTAACAACTATTAGAGTATTGGTAATGCAAGATTACTGGAATCTTATATTATTTGACAACCAAACATGGTAATCAAGTAATATAAGATGACAGAACTCTAGTAATCTTCCATTACCTCCATCCAAACGCCTCTAAGAGGAAGATAGATTACTTGGCTGAGAGGAATAAATTGGTGGTATTTTTATATTAATATGTTTGGTTGGGAGAATAAATAGAGGGTATGTTATATAAATTACTGAATTACCCTCATTTTTTAATATTATTATTATTTAGATTATTTTAACCCCCAACATTTAAAAATTTAGCTAAAACACATCATAATAAAAGTTTAAAAATTAACGAAGACTCCCCTACGCACCCAGCCACCACCGCTTATCGCCAACCATCGGCTACCAAATGGTGCATAATTGGGTAGAATAGATCTAGCCATTTTTTGCCATAAATGTGGCCAGAAATGACCATATCATTGCATGACCAGCTAGATCCGACTGGTTGTGCATTGTTTCGATGCCTCCAGCTTGTCGTTGAGGGGGGTGGCCAGTTGCCGGTAGTGGTGGCTAGATCCTGCCACCAGTCATGCGTAATATTTTTCAAGGTATATTCGTCTTAAAATTTTTGTATATAAGAATAAAATAGTTCTTGAATTTTTTTGTAAAATTTTTCAAAACAATGGTATTATTGTTCAAAAATTTTAATAATTAAGGTAAAGCTGTAACAAAAATAAGATTACTAAGTAATCTTAAAATACCTAAAAAAATGAAGGTTATTAGATTACTTCCTATATAACCAATAGTAATTACTATTGGTTTATAGGATTACCGGAATCCTAAAAACCATTAAAGGTATGTTTGGTTCAAGGAATGTTATATTACTGAGGAATGTTGTATTGCTAAAAAGATAGATTACTAAAGAATCTTTAGAGAAATGTGTTTGATCAGTTGAAATAAATTAGTGGGTACGTTATAATAATATGTATGGTTGGGAGGATAAATGAGTGGGTATGTTATATAGATTGTTAAATTGCCTTCTTTTTTAAATAATAATATAATATTATTTTTATTATTATTTTATTCTATTATTTTTTAAGCTATGTCTTTTAACCCCCGTATATTTGAAATTTTACTAAAATACCCCAACCATATACAATTTTAATTTGTAATAAAATCACCCCCACTCACCTTAAGCCACCGCTGGCAGCCAGCCACCACTGCCGACAGCTGCCATAATGGCGCATGACTGGCTAGATCTGATTGGTCGTGCGCCGACAAGGCCTAATTCGGCCATATCTGGCCGTGAATATGGCTATTTCATGGCCAAAGATATGGCCGTGAAATAGCCACAGATTTGGCTGTGAAAAGGCCAGATCTTTGGTTGTAAAACGATGACCATTTCAAGGCCAAAAATTTGGCCTTTTCACGGCCAGATCTATGGCGTTTCACGGCCACATCTTTGGCCATAAAACGGCCAGATCTGGTCGTTTCCGACTATGGATCACAAATCCATGGCCGAAAACGTCCTTATAGGCACACGACTGGTAAGATCCTACCAGTTTTGTGTCGATATGACGACTTTTGCCGGTGGTTAGTTGTGGTGGCTAGTGGCCGACAGTGGTCTTTGGTGGTTGAAGGTATTTTGTTAACTTTTAAACTTTTTTGTGACGGAGGTGTTTTAGCTAAATTCTCAAATGTAGAGGGTCTGGGCTAATTGCTATTTGGTAGACATATGAGGGCAAATGTGTCCGAAATGATAAAAGATTAAGGGCAAGATAGGATCAAAACTCCCATTGGGAATGTAATCTGATTACCCCCAATATTACCAACAGTACACAATATTTGCAATAAAAGATTACGTAATCTTTTATTACTTAACAACCAAATGAGGAAATCTTAAAAATTAAACGAAGATTACATGATTAATCTTATATTACCCCGAATCAAATGCTACCTAAAAGTTATATTATAACAATGATCAAGATCGTCTTATTATTTTAGGAAATCTTATACCTCAGTAGAGATAAAAAGAAAATATATATTATGTTACAATTAGGGCCTAGACAAGAAGATGTTGAGCCAAACTAAATAAATAAAACAAAATATCCCTAATAAATAAATAAATAAATGTTGGGCGAGGTAATATTATGATTAAAAAAAAAAGTTGGTGGAATCATTGTTTCATTGAATATATTAAAAAAAGATTGTTGAACTTGACAAATACAATTGAAGAGCAATAACACTCATTTGTTGAAAAAACCTTGCAGCAATTTGCACTCAAAGAAATTGTTTGAATCTGAAACAACCAAGAAATTTGATGATAACATGATCTATGACGTTTCACGGCCACATCTTTGACAAGGAATATGGCCTTCAGGTTGATTGCTGGAGAAGTCTAAAACAGAAAGTTGTATGAGGTTGAATGCTGAAGATGGCAACTGACCACTGAAATTATTGAATGAAAGATCTAGATGAGGTAATTTGCTGAGGTTGAATGCTGAAGATGGCAACTGACATTGAAATTATTGAATGAAAGATCTAGATGAGTTAATTTGCTGAGATTGCCAAAAACATCCGGAAACTGCTTTGAAAAATTGTTGTGATTGAGATCTAAAATTGTTGAGCTCATTAAGTTTACAGAGTGAGGCGTCAATTTGGCCAATGAAGTTATTGCCTGACAAATCCAGATAAGTGATTTTCGTGCAGTTCCAAAGTGATGTTGGAATTGACCCTTCGATACTGGAGCCAGCAAGACTCAACAAACTTAGGTATTTAAGATTGCCAATTTTGTCAGGCAATTTTCCTGAGATACTTGTAAAACCGAGATCCAAGAATCTAACGCAATTACTCTAATTAGACTTTCGTAAATTACATGTGAGCTTTTCATTGTTGGATAAATTTAGCCATTGGAGCAATGGATGGTGGAAAACATCTTCTAGGAACTTTCCTTGCTGAGCAGTGTCATTGAGATCAAGAGATATGAGAGTAGAAGACAAGTTCTTAAAGGAGCTGGCTGCAACTGAAGACATATCAACATCATGAAGATGAAGATAACTTAATTTTGTTAGATTCTGCAAGTGTTTACTGAAAACCCGTTGGCTCAAATCTGGAAACTGAAGGGTATCACTACCAGAAAGATCAATGGAAACAAGTTCAGATTGGTGAAAGATTTCAGTTGGTAATAGGCCAGAGAAGCTGGAGTAAGAAAGGTTAAGATGTGTTAATTTCATGAAGTGACTAAACTTGGATGATATTGAGGATAGGCTGAAATCATTGCAAGCTAGATTGAGCTTATGGAGATGGTGAAGGAGGAAGAGACTACTATTGTCAGATATTGAGCCAAAAAGTCCATTTGAAGCTAGGTACAAGTTCAATTACTTGGCCTGTGAAGCTACCACAAGTGACACCGTCCCATAAGCAGCAATCACTACCCTCTTGCCAGGAGTCTCTCTTAGGATAATAAGAAAAGGGTTTAAATGGAATACCATTGTCTTTACATGACGTAGAAGCAGAAACATCAATTGTAAAGTTACCCTTGAAATGGAGTAAGGCAAAGCTTTGTTCAGGAGAGCAAAATTTTGCGGACAGAGAAGAAGAGTTAAAACGGGATGAGAAAATAACTTGAAAATTCAAGTTCAAGAAGAGAAGGAAGGGGAGTAGCGGATTGTGGCATAATAACCTCCACATATTTTTCAGCGGAAAACGAAAAAGCTGCAATTCAAATTGTTGGGACAGATGAGAAGTGAAGATGATATATCAATCTATACATATATAGAAAAACAATTATACAAGGATTCATTAAAAATATTACAATGTGCAATACATTAGCTATTATTATTAACATTTATTTCTCCTTTCCACCATGACTTACTTTCCAGAAATAAAATGTTCAATTCTCTCTTACTTAACCACAATGAAACTGTTGTTAAAATATTACATTTTGTCAAAATTAGGTAAATTCCACTAAATCTTCTCTCATTTCAGTGCAGTAGTGTAAATTAAATTAATTACCTTTTCAAAGCCGAATTGATGTATAATAAATTAATGACTCAATTATAAAACAAAGTCTTGTTCAGTCACTACTCCATCAAAGTCATGGTCATGCACTAGCTAATGGTGGACATAGTTTTGCAGAAAAGTTTTCCAAATTTTAATAATTGGATGAATGAAAATTTTCAATTTATCTGCTAAATTGTGCTAGATTCACAGAAAAGTCTTGATTCTTTATTTTAGTTTTCCAACTGCATTCGAATTAAAGTAAAATAACAGAGATATATTTTATGTATCCATAGAATAAGCTGATTTGAAATAGAAAAGCACAAAATTATCATAGAAAAGAGAAAATGTGTAACACACTATAAGCCATGTTCGAGATGAATTTAAATAATTTTATGATATGAATTTACATACATAAGCTTTGAAGGAACTTATTATCTGTGTAATTTAACTCAATATATGGTTAAGATCTACTCTTCTATTACATTTTTATTTATTGTCAATCATTCAGAAATTAATTTAAACATTCAGATAAGAAGACTGTTCCGTCCCATTTGAGATATGCAATATTCTGGTCCATTTGTGCAACCCATTCCCGATAATTATTAGCATTTATTTCCCCTCTCTGCCATGACTTGCTTTTCTCTCAAGCACTTTGAAACTTGCGTTAAAATGTTGCATTGGTTGAAATTATGCGAAATCCACTGAATTAATATTTGTTTAAATTAATATGAATTTCCATACGAATCAAAATTAAGCCTGGAGCAGTGTAAATTAAATAAATTACCGAATTCAAAGCCGGATTGATGTATAACAAGGACTCAGTTATAAAACAAAGTCCTCGTCATCTACTAGTGAGAACTACATCAAAGTTTTGGTCATGCACTAGCTAATGAAGAATGCAGTTTTTCAATAAATTTTTTTTTTTCCTGGATTTGTGATTGCTGTACAAACTTCTATCTGTGGCTGTCAAATTTGTGAATTAGAAAAGTTGGAAATCAATGTATTTTAGTCTCTCTACTATATAATTTAAACTGGGAGGCACCAAAACTGTGTACTATGCTTTATGCATTCCACTTTCCGCAAATTGGAGATGCATATGAATGTAATTATTAAGTTATTGTTTGGTGAGATAAGGATAAGAATTAGAAGTTATATTTGTCCCACATTACCAAATTGGTGAACTCTTATATTGTATATGTGTGATTAGACTTCATCCTTTTTTGAGTTAACTTTTGGGTTTGAGTTTTATCTTTGAAAAAAAAACCCAAAATTTGTAAGTCTCGGATTATTTTAAAGGCCGAACGACTTGTGCATACCCAAGGTTTACCGTAACTACAAGTTGGTACCCAAAAGGTTTTGAAACGACAAATAGGTACCTTCTGTCGTGTTCTGTTAGTGATTTTTGTTTATTAATAGTGAAAAGACTAAAATGCCCTTCAAAGTTTCAATTTTAGTTTTTTATAAATTTAAAAATTTCTAAAAAACCCCCTAGGTTTGCTAATTTAATTAAACACCCCCATATATAAAAAGTTTGTTAAATGACAAAAACACCCCCACCACCCCCCTTGCCAGATTCCGGCCACCATCGTCGGAATCTGTCCGGAAAACTGCATTACGACACAGATCCGTCGGATCTGTGTCGTAACGTGTCGATCTGGCCTTTTTCGGCCAGATTCGTGGCTGATCTGGCTGGAAAAGGCCAGATCTACTGCCAGATCTGGCCGTCGACGCCGCAGATGGAGTTTTGCGGTGTCGACGGCCAGATCTAGCCGGAAAAGGCCAGATCGACGCGTTACGACATAGATCCGACGGGTCTGTGTCATAACGCAACTTTCCGACCAGATTCCGGCGGTGGTGGCCGGAGTCTGGCACTGCGGGTAGTGGGAGTGTTTTTGTTATTTTACAAAATTTTTATATACTGGGGTATTTAGTTAAATTTGTAAACTTAGGGGGTTTTTTAAAAATTTTTAAATTTATAAAAAACTAAAATTTAAACTTTTAAGGACAATTTAGTCTTTTCATTATTAATAAACAGTAATAAACAGAAATCACTAACAGAACATGACGAAAAGTACTTATTTGTTATTTCAAAACTTTTTATGTACCAATTCTCGTTATGATAAACCTTGGATACGTGTAAGTCGTTCTCCCTATTCTAAATCCCAAAATCCTAGAATGATTATAAGATAAAGATTTCAACGTGACGTTCGCTAAGAAAAATTCAATGAGCCTATGTTAGTTCACAGCTATTAAATGTCCGTTTAATTAATAACGACAACATAAGTCTAAATCCAAAAATCCGAGAATGATTATAATATAAAGATTTCCACGTGACGTCTGCAAGGAAACGATCAATGAGCCTCTGTCAGTTCGCGACTATTAAATGTCCATTTATTAAATATCTGTTTAATAACGACAATATATGTCAAAATCCCAAAATGATTATAATATAAAGATTACAACATGACGTTTTTGTTAGGGAATGGTCAATGAGCCTTTGTTATTTCACAACTATTAAATGTCTGTTTAATAACGACAAAATACGTATGTTAGNAATCACAATCGAAAATCTACTTGTTTGTTTATATAATCATAAGTCATAAGCGATTCTTTAATTAACAATTAAAATCACATTTTATAAGCTAATCCGAATCTCCAATCTTCATCACTCCACTCACCTCACCTCAGAGTCAGACGCTTATGTGAATGTGAATGTAAACTTTGCAATGCCGGAGCTAGGGTTTCAGGATCAGAGGTCGATGAGATCAGGCTTTAGAGCACGTGATGCTAGTCCTGACTCCGTTATTTTTACTCTTGAATCCAATTTTAGTTTATTTTCTTCTGCTTCGGCTAGTGTTGACCGCTGTTCTTTTCATCTGATGCTCACGATCACGACTCTCTCGCCTCTGAAATTTCCCTGGTACTACTTGCATTGTCTCACATTTCACCTTTTTCCTTCTGTAAATAACATTACACGATGGAATCATCTTGATTTGGCTTTTTGGATGATTAGATTTTTTAAATAATAATGTGCATGCATTTTCATTTTATTAAATTTGTTTCTTTGAAAAGCTTGAGTGGCTGTATGAACTGGTACCTACTTGGAGCAAAAGGAAACAATTTTCGGTGTGGACTGTGGATGGAGTCACGGTGTGGAAGGCTGGAACTACCGGCGAACTGGAGTCTGGAACTTTAGAGTGACGAACGGATGATTGACGAAGTGTAGAGATGTGAAATTTTCAGATTTGGAGAATGGAGGCCGAGAAAGACGAATGTTGATGGAGTAGCGTGACTGCATGAGGAGTAAAAAAATTTTTTTTGCTTTTATATGTGAGGTAAAACCGGTTTGTAATTTTTTCCAAACCGAACCGGTTTTTAGAATTTCACAAACCGAAAACCGAATCGGTTTGTAAAAAAATTTAATTTTTGGTTCGGTTTTGGTTTGGTTACCGGCTCGGTTCAGCTTTCAGATTATTTATCCCACCCCTAAGTCACGAGAGGCAGAAAGGAGGGAGAAGTTGACCCACGTGTCAAACTCTTGGACAACATCATGGTTTCACCATGGTGAAGGTTTGGAAAAGTAACCCGCCCGCCCGCGGCAGGTGAGGGGTTTTGGCGGGTCAGACCTAACCTGGCCCGTCACTTGGCCAAGAAGGCTAACCCAGCCCAGCTCTCCAACCCTAACCTGACAAGTTATGCGTAATTGTTTTTAGTTAACTTTTCAAATATCAATAATTCAATTAAATTAATTTTTTTGTTAATATTTCAAATATTAATTCAATTAAATTAATTTTTTTTGTTAATATTTCAAATATTAATTCAATTTTAATACAATAAAATTGTAATATAAGAAAAATTAGATTTATTCATTTATCAAAAAAATTATTGTCTCGTTAAAAACCTCACCAAGAAAAACTCAATGGGACAAAAACTTGGTAAAGAAAAAAGAGTGCAATAATTGACAATTAATTTATAAATTACAATTTACAAAATAACTAATTTGGGGGTTGACTAAGACCTCCCTCATCTGTATTATCTATATTACAAATTGAAATGATTCTATTAAAGTATCGTCGACAACCTCGTACCGATCTTGATGGCGCGAGCGTTCCCATTCTCGAAGACATGTGAGGACTTCAATCATTTTTGTGAAAGTTTAGTTCTCATTTCATTTAAAATTCTTCCACTTGCACTAAATTTTTGTTCGGATGAGACGGTTAAGATAGGAATAGCGAAAATATCCAAGACAAATCTTGATAATATTGAAAAAAATACATTTTCTGGTTTTCTAATGTTCTAAGACATCAAAGTTGGCTCTTTGTTGTGGATCTATTGGTAACATTTAGAGGGTTCTCAAATATTGTTGAAGCTCATTACTCTGTGACTGCATAGAGAACAGTATATTTGTTGTTAGTGCTTCTAAAGAGGAGGTTTTTCCTTCGGGTTCGAGTCCTCTTCGGTCTATTAAGTGCATTCCAAGAGTAGAAGT